ATTGTACAGTGGCATTAAGTGCCGTAATGTGCACCTCTGCCTACCCCTTCGGGGATAAAAAGGCGTGATGTTATGTTATGTTATGTTATGTTATGTTATGTTATGTTATGTTATGTTATGTTACCACATTCATACGCTGCGGCAAGTTATACAGAAGACTGAGGAGTATAACTTGCCAGTATGCTTGGCGTTTGTGGACTATGAAAAAGCCTTTGATTCAATCGAGACCTGGGCGGTGCTGCAGTCTCTCCAGCGATACCATATCGACTACAGATATTTAGAAACGCCACCATGCGCATCCGACTCCAGGAAAATAGCACACAACCAATCCAATTGCAGAAAGGCGTGAGACAGGGCGACGTGATTTCTCCGAAACTGTTCACCAACGCATTGGAGGACGTTTTCAAGCTCTTAAACTGGAGTGGACTGGGCATCAATATCAATGGCGAATACATCACACACAGACAAATGGCATCACAAAAGAATGGCCCCGAGTTCCCAGCGGCGCTGCGACCCCCGGTAGAGGCAGCAGTATGGCACATGGCAGTGTCAGTGCGAAGAATCACCGGGAGTATAGACGCTGCCAAAACTTACAATCTATCAATCTCAAACATTGAGGACAGAAGATAGAATGGAACGGAATCCGTGCGTCACTGCATGGGTGCCCTCTGAAAATCAATGCTGGGCAACTTGTATGCCTAGCTTACACTGAGTGGGTGACCCTTTTAGCATGGGCATGTTGTCAGCGTCTCTTTTCTAATTGTTCTTTTTGACGTGACAACGTCTTAAATTAGGTTGCGGCTGGGAGTCACTTATGAAAAAGTGTAACGCTCGGTAACGTTACGATGAGTCACCGAACGAGAGAGAGGCCCGCCGAATGCCTTGCGTCTCTCTCCCACTCAACTATGATCGGACTGCCGCGCGCGCAGCACTAGTTCATTCAATTCCTTGTTCCTATTGTGCAATTTAATTATATTCATATCAATAAATATTCTACCGAGAAAAAGACGTTGTCACGTAAAATCTTCGCCCGTAAAAACGACTTTACAGGCAACCATTTTTTTAATTTGTCAACTTTTATATTTTTATTACTTCCACTGTCACACATTTATTGTCCTTTTTCTATTTTATTTATGCTGCATCGTGCCTGGTGCTAAATCACACACCTCCGCTTCGCCGATGATGTAGTCATCATGGCGGAGTCGCTGGAGGATCTAAACACCATGCTCAGCGACCTCAATATCGTCTCCCAACAGGTGGGTCTTAAAATGAACATGGACAAGACCAAAATCATGTCAAACATCCATGTTGCACCTGTACCGGTCATCGTTGGGAACGATATCCTCGAAGTTGTAGACCACTATACTTAGGGCAGATTATACAGCTAGGTAGGTCCAGGTAAAGACCAGGGTGTTCAACCAGTGTGTGTTGCCGGTGATGACGAGACGTGGTCCCTGACCTCTGGCCTTCTGGAGAAGCTCAAAGTCGCTCAGCGTGCGATGGAGAGAGCTATGCTCGGGGTTTCTTTGCGCGACAAAATCCGAAATATGGAAATTCGCCAAAGAACAAGAGTTACTGACATAGCTCGTAAAACCAGCAGACTAAAGTGGCAATGGGCAGACCACGTCGCTCGAAAGACTGACGGCTGATGGGCCAGGAAAGTCCTTGAGTGGAGACCATGGACCGGAAGACGAAGCGTGGGCAAGCCTCCCGCTAGGTGGATCGACGATATCGCCAGAGTTGCGGGGAGCCAGTGGATGCAGGTGGCGAGATGTTGTTCGACGTGGAGGATTAAGGGGGAGGCCTTTGTCCAGCAGTGGACGTCTTCCGACTGTTGATGATGATGATGATAAAATGAAACATCAGCAACTAAGACTGCTTCGTTGGCCGAATGGTCGCAAGTGCGACTGCCGGGCAAGGGGTCTTGCGTTCGAATCCCTGGTCGGGGAAATCGGTCGGTTATGAGTCCCATGTAATAGGGGGTGAGCTTTTTGCCATATACCGGGTACAATTCTAGACTCCGTGCTACTACTGAGATTTTTTTTAAAAACCCCTGTAATTATTTGCCCGACTCGGAATTCGAATTCGGTACCCTTCGCCCGGCAGTCACACTTGCGACCACTCGGTGAACGAGTGTAGTTGGCGTTTTTCAGGATTTTAGTGTTCATTATTTTAATTTACGTTCAATTCAATATTATGAGGTGTATAACTGCCTCGTTGGCCGTAGCGTAATACAACAAAACATGACGTAACGCCTTTTATCCCCGAAGGGGTAGGCAGAGGTGTTGGCGTACCTTGTCGTTGACCCTCTTGAGGAAGGGCTGCAGCATGTCGGGGCGCGCGCGCAGGAAGGCGGCGGGCGCGGCGTGCGCGGCGGCCAGCGCCAGCAGGTCGGCGGCCAGCAGGCGCGCCGCGCGCCGCGACGGCACGAACACGGCCGCCGGCCGCCGCCCCGCGTGCCGGACCACCGCGTGGTAGATGGGCTTCGTCATGGCGGCCAGGCGCGAGCCCGCGTGCGAGATGTTGAAGCCCTGGGGACAATGTTTTCACTTCACTTCTCTGTAACTCTACATTATATGTACGGTTTACGTCCAGAACATCGACACGAATTATGCCTGAGAGCCTCAAAGACAGCCTTAAAGCATAAAATTATCCTTTGCGTGGCACCCAAAATGTATAATAAAATCCCAAATACTACCAAGAATCTGAATTTGACACAATTTAAACGGAAACTTAACAATTTTCTAATTGATAAATGCTATTAGACCATTGACGATTTCTTTCATGACAAAATGTAATAAACTGACAACCTTAGCCTTATTAGCCTTCTGGGTACTTCCCCGCTGACGTCGATGCGGACGAATTTTTCGATGCTTTATGTAAATAGTTGTTTTTCTTTTAATTCATTTTAATCTTAAGTTGGATAAATTTAACTTAGTAATAGTTAGTTTTAATTTTATTTAAGTAATAGTTAGTTTTAATTTAAGTTTTTTATTTGAATTACCTAATGTTTACTTTTACTGACAACTATGTGTACAATTGATTATTAAAACTTGGTTACATTATTGTTTATTTAATGCTTGTATTAATTTATTTTGTTGCTAAATTTTTGACATTTTTATTATTGATTGTATATTTAATGCCTGTAATAATTTATATTGTAACAAAATTTTCACATTTTATTTATGTTTAATTTTTGCTGATGATGAATATTTATATAATGTCTGTAATAATTTATATTGTGACTAAATTTTGACAAATTAATTTATTAATTATTTATGTTAAAATTTTGATGATGATGAATATTTTTATACTTTTTAAATAGCGTATGCCTAATGGGCAGCTTTTAGCGCTACTATAATTGTTGGAGCTGATGCTCTTGTCTTGATTACTGATAATCTTGATAAATAAAACTTGTTGAAATATAGAAATTTATTAAAACAATACTTGATATCAAAATGACTTGTGTGCACACGTGTACGGTCAATCGCGAACTGGTCTAATAAGTAAAGCGTTGAATGCGCAAAGAGTAAAATTGCAATTATACAAATTCATGTACTTTGTACATATTTCCCGGGCGGGAGATGATGAGGCTGTGGCGCACAAATCAAATTAATAAAATATGTTCACATGTCAAATGATTAAAACTAATAAACATCATGATAAAAAACAGAAAAAAAATAAAAAATACAAAATCTTTATAAAAACATGTTTCACTAAAATCAATCCATCTCTATCCTCTCAGTCTGAGGTCTTGTCCCTGGCATTGTTGCACGCCGTGTGCTCGGCAGCGGTGGTGTAGTCGATGTTTCTACTCTTGCAGCCGCTAGCGGTACTTGCCATCGACAGCGTACTCGACGAAGTGCATATATTACTCCTGAGATAGCAACTATGGCAAGCATCACATATATCATAACATAGTGATGTATGTCATGATATGATATCTCCTCCGATGCTGTCGGTGTCTGGTCTTCTTCTTGCATGAGCAACTGAATCCTGTCTCCAAATTGCTCTGTATCTTGATACAATTTTGTTTGGGAATTATTAGTCTGGTTTCCCGCAGACCATTGCGGTAGGGTAATCTTAATGATGTCATTGATTGGCGCGATAGTCGGTGCTGGCAGATCAGGCAAAATCTTGATTTCGCTTGAGTGAATCTTGGACGGGTAAATCGTGATCTCGTTTGTCTTTAACAAACAACCTTGTCCAATGCTGATAAGTCCAGAACCTGTTAGTTGATAGGTTTTCATCTCTTCCGTGCAAATCGTGCGAACGGTGCAAGTGTCGCAACAAAAATATACGTATGTATTGATTGCATAACTTTCTGTCCAATAATTGCGGCATTGTTCAATTACTGTTTTACATTCCGATATTCCCATCTGACATAAATTATCATTTTCTTTCATTTTATATTCTGGCTTGTGGATGTGATAGAAACATGTTCCTGACTGCATGACACATTGGTTGATATCATTTTCCATCATGGATATATATGTGTCCTTTCTCAAATTGATTGAAATGTAATCTGAAACTGGAACCAATGTTATCATTTGTCTATCTTGATATTTAGGTATTTTAATAACCCTAAAAATCTCAAACTTATCCCTGCTGATAAGCGGTAGGCTTATTTCAAACATGACGTAATCCTTCAGCATTCTTGTTTTTACTGTGAGGAGATTATAAATCTTGCTAAGGTCTGAATGAACGTTGTCTATTGGTAGAGCAACTTCCTTTGGTAATTGACTTGATATCGTGCTAAGTTCATCGCTAATTTGGGTAGGTGTCAGTAAATGTAAACTGATGCGTCCATGATATACATCTGTTATTGTATCTAATAATGTATTTTGCATTGTCTTTAAGTTGTTCATCATATTGCTTGCTATTATGGCCCCTAATGCAAAGTCATTAAGAACCATATTTCTTTGTACGTCTTCTTTCAACATATTAACGGCCTTTTCTAATGCAACTATATGTTGATTTAATATTTTATGTTGTTGATTCATAGCGACTTCGGCCCTTTTCAGTAAATTATTTTCGGCTTCAATTAATGAAGTTTGGTTTTTCCATAAACTTGTGATATGTTTTTGGTTAGCTTGTATCATCCCGATATCTCTTTTGTATTGCTGTGCAAATCTTTCATCTAATACACCGAATAAATCTCCTGCTATGTTTCCAATAACGTTGATAAGACCTCGACGGACGCGCTGTCTGAGTCCGCGCTCGCGAAACTGATTAGTCAGGAACAGCTGATTATAATGTTCAAGTTCATTGAGCTCGTGACGTAATTGGAGTAGCACCGAGTTGCACTGTTCGTGTATGTGCGAGCAAATTTGTTCTAATGATTTGGTGTAAGCTATTACGGCTTCTGTGCCTTGCCAATAGGGTTTCATTTCGTAAAACACGACAATCTTCCATTCGTCTTTGATTAAGTTCATGTTGGATAGTTTATCGAAATAGAAACCTTGATTTTCTCTAAATTGAGTGGTGTTGACTTTGCATTCTGACGTCGTTAATAAAGTCAGGAAGAATAGTATAGCTGTACATACGGCTGCTAAGCTCTTCTTGCTTTTTGGTAATGGTATTTGTTGTTTCTTGTTATCTTGATCATTTTGTTTACTGTCAGGAACTTCTTCATACTCAGTAAGTATAGACAACTTGATGACAGGACGCCGTATGTAGCCATTTTTTGTTTTTAGCGTCACTACGCGAACAAACCCGTCTTGGCCGGGATGTAGTTGCACTACTCTTCCCATTGTCCACTTGCCTGGGGGTAGGTTCTCATCATGTATAAGAACTACGTCATTTGTCTTGATGTTTTGATGCGGTCGTCTCCACTTACTTCTTGAAGTTAGTTGAGTTAAGTATTCGGTGCGCCAACGTTTCCAAACATCTTGAATTATCTTTTGTGTTAACTGCCAGCGGGTTCGCATATCTCTTTCACTTTCAACCAGGGTGAGGGTTGGACCGCCGGTCAAAAAATGCGATGGAGTAAGATAATCAAGGTCCTCCGGGTCTTCTGATAGAGCACATAAGGGCCTTGAATTCATACACGCCTCAATCTGGGCAAGGACGGTCGAAAATTCTTCGAACGTGAGCTTTTGTTCACCAATTACTCTTTTAAAATGAAATTTAAAGCTCTTGACTGCTGCTTCGAATAATCCGCCCGCGGAAGGCCAGGAAGGTGCATTAAAATGCCATGATATTTCCATGTCAGTGAGCTCTTTCATAAAACCATCATTAAAAACTTGTTGTACTTGTTGGTACTCTTCTTGCAATACTCTACTAGCTCCAACGAAATTTCTTCCATTGTCGCTGTACAAGTGACGTGGTGTTCCGCGACGTGCTGCCATCCTGCGAAGCGCAGCAATAAATGCTGAAGTTGACAAGTCCGAGACCAACTCCAAGTGGACGGCCTTTGTCGCCATACACACAAACACCGCCACGTAACCCTTGGTGGTTTTTATTCCGCGTCCCTTGCTGGCCTTGACATAAAAGTGTCCTGTGTAATCGACTCCAGTATGTAAGAATGGGCGTGATTGATTGACTCTTGAACTTGGTAAATCTCCCATTATTTGTTCTTGTTTTTGCGGATTTTGTTTCTTACAAACAACACATTGACGAATGTGCTTTTTTGTTGCTCTATTACCACATAAGATCCAGTATTTTTGCCTGATAAGCGCCAAAGTAACACGTGTGCCGCCGTGAAACGTGAGTCGGTGAGCGTGGTCGATTATTAATTGTGTTAAACGACTGTCATACGGAATAATTATAGGATTTTTCATTTTCATGCTGATTTGAGCATGTTTTAATCTACCACCCACTCGCAGAATCCCTTGTTGATCTAGGTAGGGTGTAAGACTCAACAGCTTGCTTTTCGATGGTAATTTCTTATTATCCTTGAGGCTTGACAGTTCTTCTTCGAATTGTTTACCTTGTACTTGCTTGATAAGAACACCGGTAGCTTCTCGTATTTCCGATAACGTTAAGTATTTTTCTTGATGTCTGTCTTGTTTACTAGTAAGAAATCGGCGTACCCATGATAATACGCGAACAAGTTTCATATAAGAGCTATATTTTTGAAGCAATTTTTCTATTAGGCTTTCTTCATGATTGGCAAAATTTATTTGTGTCAATGACCTTTCTTCTTCATTTGTTGTGTATATAGGTGCTTGTTTGGATTCTTTCTGCCACGTAAGTAGCCATGAGGGTCCATGCCACCACAAAGGATGAGTGTTCAACTGTGTCATCGTGAGCCCACGGCTCGCGCAATCAGCTGGATTTTCAGCTGATTTGATATACCGCCAATTTTTCGGTGGTATAACTTCTGTTGATTGACGAACTCTGTTCGACACGAATGTTGTCCACCGGTCTGGGTTTCCTTGTAACCACCCGAGGACCGCTGTAGAATCTATCCAGCCATACGTAGTTAAACGATGATCTCTTAAACATTCCTTGATTTTAAGCATCAATTTTGATAATAGATGCGCTCCGCAAAGTTCCAGCTTTGGCAGCGAGATGTGTTTATTCTTTG